CAACATAAAAGAAGTGGATTAAAAGGTGGTTAGAGCGCTCGACTCGCAATCTGCGGGTCGCGAGTTCGAATCCCCATCACACCAAACATGCTCGCCCTTTCAGCCCTGGGGGCATTATAATGTGACGGTCAATCCCACTATTCGTTGGTAAAAGAGTAGCCCAAGAGTTGGCGGTGGGTGGTAATGACTAGCTGCCTTCCCTCGATTCTTACACTGCTAAATTAAGGACGGCTAACGCAGATAACCCTCGTGTAGCTTTGTGCGAAATTTAAAAACCAAATCGCACTTTTTAGTTATTACGTCGCTTGATTACTTTTTTGGTCTAATATTATTAGGACGTATTTTTGATTATTATGTCACTTTACTATTTTTTTTGGCCTGATCTTATTAGCACGAACTTTTGTTTATTACGTCACTTGAATATCATTTCTTGGCCTGTTAGCTTATAGTATTCTAATGGCTTAGTGTATTTTAATCCGGTTTTGATCTAATTTAGGACTATAATCGTCGCTGATGATTGGATGTCGCAAAGGCGCAGTAACGCGGTTAATTGGTCTGAAACTAACCATGATTGTGGACTTGCAAAATTTACTTTTTTTTTAGGTAGTACTAAAAATTTGGGTTTTAGTTACTTTGTCCCTTAAAGACAACATTAGTGGTTGGACAGGAGAGATCAAAGATCCAGTTTCTAAAATATAATTATACTATTACATTCGTGCACTGCTTACGACACGGGGATCGAACCCTGAGTTCTAGCATTATAAGCGCTCAACTTTACTGTTGAGACACCGTTATACGTTTACGGGATGAAGTTGGCTCATACCCAAATTAAAGAGCGTGAGCTAAATTGGGTTTGAGGTGATGGCTACAACTTACTTCTTTGATCTTGCTTCTATATCTAAATACTGACATTTTAGACCCTTGAAATATAAATAGGTGTACACAGTTTACACGAACAGCCTAATAATGCTGTACATTGCTGTTTTGTACTTCTTTGATTGTTGAATTTCGCGCAAAAGTACTCGAGGTAGTATTGGTCGTTCTTAATTTAGAAGTGATAGACTAGATGAAAGGCAGCCAATCAACACCCCTCACAGCAAACTGTTTGGCTAATCTTTTACCAACGAACAATGAGATTGACCATCACATTATAACACCCCACTGCTGGAAGATCGAGCATGTTCGGTGACGGGTTTCGACGCTGTTAGGAAGGGTATGTACCAGCTCTTTCTAACGCAAGACATTCATACAGTCAGGTCATATCACCGTATGGAAACGTCACCTTAAATATCTAGAGATTGAAATTGGAATTAATGCCATTTCTTGTGAAGACATACCGCTCATATTGCTGGACGCAGTACCTATGAATTTCTGAGCAGGGAGCAGGGGGCGTGCTTTTGTCATGACAGTTTTACAATGAAAACTTTGCTGGCGGGCTATTATCAAGATATCGATCGTCATATAGAATATGAGTGGACGCGACGACATTAACTGTAACGACGTGGTGATGAAGTTCCAAAGCCGTTTAATATAACGTACTCAACCTCTGTAAAATAATTTCTATTCTCATTAATATAACGTACTCAACCTGTGTAAAATCATTTCTATTCTCATTAATATAACGTACTCAACCTGTTTAAAACCATTTCTATTCTCATTAAGATAACGTACTCAACCTCTGTAAAATCATTTCTATTCTCATTATTATAACGTACTCAACCTCTGTAAAATAATTTCTATTCTCATTAAGATAACGTACTCATCCTGTGTAAAATCATTTCTATTCTCATTAATATAACGTACTCAACCTGTGTAAAATAATTTTATTCTCATTAATATAACGTACTCAACCTGTGTAAAAATCATTTCTATTCTCATTAATATAACGTACTCAACCTGTGTAAAATAATTTCTATTCTCATTAAGATAACGTACTCAACCTGTGTAAAATAATTTCTATTCTCATTAAAATAACGTACTCAACCTGTGTAAAATAATTTCTATTCTCATTAAGATAACGTACTCATCCTGTGTAAAACCATTTCTATTCTCATTAATACAACGTACTCAACCTGTGTAAAATAATTTCTATTCTCATTAAGATAACGTACTCAACCTGTGTAAAATAATTTCTATTCTCATTAAGATAACGTACTCATCCTGTGTAAAATAATTTCTATTCTCATTAAGATAACGTACTCAACCTGTGTAAAATAATTTCTATTCTCATTAAGATAACGTACTCATCTTGTGTAAAACCATTTCTATTCTCATTAATACAACGTACTCAACCTGTGTAAAATCATTCCTATTCTCATTAATACAATGTACTCAACCTCTGTAAAATCATTTCTATTCTCACTAATACAACGTACTCAACCTCTGTAAAATCATTCCTATTCTCATTAATACAATGTACTCAACCTCTGTAAAATCATTTCTATTCTCATTAATACAACGTACTCAACCTCTGTAAAATCATTTCTATTCTCATGAATATAACGTACTCAACTTCTGTAAAACCATTTCTATTCTCATTTTTTGTAGTTCGCATTTCCATACCTCACAAGTACCTGGTAAAATATACAGAATGGAAAAAAGTAGACTATGATTCAGAAGATAATGTTTTATTTCCTAATTTAGGTTATGTTGCACACTTCATCTACTATTCAAACCGAATACATTATGTCGAATATAATGGAAAACGACTGACATTGTCACGCTCTATCTCCTTCTATCGATCGTATAACACAATTAGAGCGAGTCGCGAGATTACGTTGTGGTACAAAATAAAAAGAGCATTTACGTGTAATAATAATAACTTCTAGTTTGCTTCATTAGTCCGTAAACGTTTGTGTACTACAGTGGTGTACAACAGCCTGAAGTAGGTTTTACTAATTGTTACAATTGTTTTTGTGCACATGTTGTAATTATGAGCTTAAAATTTTCAAAACATACAAATCGTTAAGTTCGCATTTAAGATCTGTGGTATGGTAGTGCAATGGATGGTAGCTGGAAACATATAAAGGAAAACTACATAAAATGTAACATTATCATTGCCTTCTCCTCAACCCTCAAGACTTCAAACTAACAGGTTTGGGTATTTAAATCTCTTTTTCACTAATGACTTTTTTCATCGTAGAATTAAATTTCAAACTCTACACTTTATACCTGTTTTGTAATAACGATTTATAAGGTGTTGTTACATTGCTAGGCGTTAGTTAATTAGAACTCACAAACAGGGCATGATGCCAGTCAGCTGGTTACCGGTTGGGTATGTATATTCTACCATCTCAGATGTCAGTTTAAATATCTTGAAAATTACATTTTTTTTCCACATCGGTATTTACTACTTTCTACTACAACTAGATATGTCTATATTTACTGTATGTTTGAATTATACATTAGCTTCTTATTATTGTTTGTTTTAATACAGCGAAAACATAGGAAAATATTAACTATGATTTTGTTTTTACTCTTTCTAATTTCTAGATGTGCTGCATATTTATTCATCTACTTGTTATAATAGCTGCTCTGGTGTGTTTATTATAAGGTGAAATCAAGAGGTTGCGTTATTACAGGCCCGGTTATTACAGGTGGTTAAGGAGCTCCACTCACAATCCGAAGGTCGCGGGTTCGAATCTCCGTCCCACCAAATATACTCGCTCTTTCAGCAGTGGGGGGCGTTATAATGTGACAGTCAATCCTACTATTTGCTGGTAAGAGAGTAGCCCAAGAGTTGGCGGTGGGTGGTGATGACTAGCTGCCTTCCATCTATTCCTATGTCTATTGAAACACTGCATTTAAAAAAGTAAATGTAAGGATTGGTAATATAAATTCTTCAAAAACAACGCAAACAAGGTAGAAGGAATGGCATTTGCATGATCCCTACATAATAGTACAGGCAAGAATTAACATACAGCAATATATATATATATAATTATTCAATCACTATTGAGTTTAATTTATTCTATTTTTGTCTGTTAACATTCTGTTACACTGTGTAGTATATTACGAAGTTAAATGAGTGAAATACTCCCTAAACAAGATAAATCTGTTTATTAAATAGTGTTCAAATCTCTACATATAATCTCAGCGTATCGTGGACTCATTACGTCCAACATCTCTATGCCATATAAACATAATTCAAGATACATCTGTTCAAATTATGCAGGTGGCGTTATTAGCTTCAGAACTGTTTGTTCGTAATTAAACACAAAACTACACAATGGGCTATTTGTGCTCTGCCCACCACGGGTATCGAAACCCAGTTTCTAGCGTTGTAAGTCCGCAGACATACCGCTAGGCTACTGCGGAGCTATTAGGTTCAGCTCAACGAGGAGAATAATAAATAATCCAGTAAATTATTTAACAAATGATCTAAAAGCCGCGAGCGAGGTTTTATCTGATTTCATTCTCCGATTTTACGACGACTTTTCCATCTGCATCAGAAGTGTTAAAGAAATTAATTAATTATTAGAATTTCTTTTGCATTGGCCTGTTGCTAAAAGAACCCAGTATACTTCGTTATCTGACTCTTACCATGCTTACTATGTCATTAACATTATATATCTATAATGTTTGCTAATTTTAAGTCATGTGTTTCATTTAAAAACCAAAAACAGTACAATGAATTATATTTGCTTATTGTTCTATTAATCTAAATTTGATAAATCAAATATATATGAATTTATTTGAAATTAACTAATCACACGTAATTTTTTTCAGATCCATTAAATCGTTGTCAGACTTTTAACGTCCGGTAATAGTGACAAAGATAAAAATGACACAAGCAATAATGAAAAAAAAATTCAAAAAAATCTGTGAACATGCTTTATTCTTGTTATTGGAAAAGGGGTAAACCTATGCCGTTTTTTCCCACTTTGCTTTGTTACTGGTGTTTTTACCACCGGGACCAATATATTTTTTTTTGTCAGGACTCCAGATTTTTTTTTTTTTTACCTAAAAACAGCACCAAATAGATAACACCAGAGAATAGTAGTACAGGAGAGGATATGGTGCACACTGAACAACATAGAAGAAGAAAAGCAGGAATGAATGATCTTTGCAATTCAAAGTCATCGCCCAAAGGGTCAGGAGCCGTGCGAAAGTCTCCATCAATCAAAGTGATGTACCCCTTCAGTCATCAAGTGGGTGGTCACACACAGATGTTACTACTGGAGCGAGACACTCTTTGTAAACCTCTTATACAGAGGGAACTTCACTTCTACCAGAACGTACCAAGGGGGATGAAACGTTTCGTTCCTGATTACAAAGGTGAGTCAAACTTTCTTTGGTGTAATGATTGTAATTCGATTATCAGTATCAACATAATGTATGTCAATGTGATATCGATTTACACTCTGAATTAAAATCTTAGTTGGAGTTTCTGTTGTTGTTTTTTTCAAATTTGTTGAAATATCGTTTCAATGTTTAATCCTAATCCAGAACTAAACTGATAGAGCACATCATAGTTGACCGAACCACATTTCGAACAAAAACCCACCCACTCGGGTCAAAATCTGATTAGTTCTTAGCTTTTAACTTGATGAAGAAATTGTAGTAGGAGATTGAGTGATTTTTCAATTATCTTTATCTTTTATACGTTTTGTGCTCATTCTCTTTAACTCAATAATTCTGATAAATATTGTCATTTTTATCAGTTTAGCGTCAATTGAAATGAAAGTTATCTTTAGAGGACCATTATAAACATAGTTAAATACACCAAATTAATATAAATTCTATATAAACTGTGGGCTATCGAAATGTGATTCACCCAAGGATACTCGTTGATTCATATTTTTCGTTTGTTTTTGTACTTTGTCCCAACATTGAGTTCCTACAGTGTGTGGTCAAACCCTCGTATTCTAAACAAAACTACCCCTTCCCCTTTGTGGCTGAGCGGTTAACTTGAGGGCTTATATTGCTAAAACTCGGGGTTCCATACTCGTGATGGTAACAACGAAAGATAGCCTATTGTTTAGCTTTGCGCTTGATCACAAAAGAAACAAATTAAAAAATGATAAGGTTTCATGACAAGGCATGAAGACGACAACTTTACACAAACTATTAAAACTTGCTATTGAAACATCGTAAGTACAATACCTAAAACATCAGTAGTCCGTTTTAAGAAAGAGACATCGTATTGCTTCAATAAATAACTATTTTCATTATGATAACAAAAAGACTGGAGAATATTTATTCATTGCTGTTGTTTGTTTTCCTTATTGTAAGTTTACTGTTGCAATTTTTCATTTTAAAAATTATTTAGGATTTGTATTATTTTGAAAATTTTGACCTTACGTGTAAGGTTTCTTTCAAGACATTGAAAAGTATCATGCGGTTTTTGAGAGTTTCACAACTTTTTTTTTTTTTCCAAAATATAGGTGTCATACAGGTTCGACGTGTGAATAAGAATCCCGAATTCCTCCAACCTATTCAGAAGAACAGTGTGGCTTGTTCCAACGAAAACAATCAAAAACAAGATCAAAACCATGACGATATAGAAAGGTGGCACTATGGGACTGACCAACAATATAGGTTAGTTATTTTTATTTTTACTTCAGTTAAATGCTAGATTCTGTTAGTACCAAGATCGAGCGTGACCAAGTGGTTTGCGTGCACGACTACGAATTTATGGGTCCATCATTCTTTTTCCTTTCCTGTAAAAAGAAAATAATAATAATAATCCACTATTCGATCAGACAAGAGTAGCCCATGAATTGGCGGTGAGTGCAATTTGACTGCCTGCCTTTCTTATAGTCTATCAGCTCAGAATTAGGGACGGTTAGTGCATTGTTTGTTTGTTTATTCTTAGGCACAAAGTTAAACAATGGGTTATCCATGCTGTGCCAAACACGAGTATAGAAACACAGTTTTTAGTGTTATAAGCTTTCAGACTTTCTTATGAGACACTAGGTGGGGTGGGGTTTGCGCAAAACTACATATAGTCTTTCTCGGGACTTTCCTGAAGACAGTAGCAGTTTACAAAAAGAAGACCCCGGACTGAATCTTAGCCCCTACCATCATATATAGACGTTCTCAGGATTTTTCTGAAGACGGTAGTGGTTCTCAACAAGACGACCATGGGCTGAATCTTGACCCCTACCATCAGATATAGACGTTCTCAGAACTTTGTTGAAGACGGTAGCAGTTTAAAAAAGAAGACCCTGGAATGAATCCTGGCTCCTACCATCACATATAGACATTCTCAGAACTTCTCTGAAGACGGTAGCAGTTTACAAAAAGAAGACCACGGGCTGAATTCTACCCCTACCATCAGATTTAGAAGTTCTCAGAATTTCTCTGAAGATAGTAGCAGTTCAAAACAAGAAGACCTCGGGCTGAATCCTAGCCCCTATAATCAGATATAGGCGTTCTCAGGATTTCTCTGAAGACGGTAGTGGTTTTCAACAAAAAGACCCTGGGATGAATCCTAGCCCCTACCATCACATATAGACTTTCTCAGGACTGAAGAAGGTGGCAGTTTACATATAGACATTGGTTTTAACTTATTATGTTTAAAAGTTCACGATGAAATCTTTTAAATGTTTTATTCTTTGTGTTTGATTTTTCGTCTTTTTATATTCACGAATACAGAGTTCAAGTTCATAGTTACAAGGATGAAATGATTCTTCTCAATGATCCAGTATCTCAGTTTCTAGTGGAGAATAAACACACCTCCTCCAATTATAGTTGTATCCTTTTTTCTTGAGAATTATTATACAATCCATCAATAACATATTAACGTGCTCTTTCTTTGTTATATGAAATATTCTATTTTAATAGCCTGGATAAAATTAATGATGAAAACAGATCAGGTCACATTAGAGTGACACATCATGACCAGGTAAGAACTGTGGTTTCGAAGTGTTACTTTTTTCTTTTTTACAATCCGTATACGCTGAACATTATGAAATAATTAATTAATTACATGAAAGTTACATATTATTCAAATACCGATATTATAATAGACTACAGTGTTGAGCTTTGTCGGCTATCGTTAATTTATTCAGGATTAGGATAGGAATTGTAATGATTAGATTTTACGCTCAACAATCTAAAAAATTTCCTTTCGATTTCCTTTTATCTGCATAGATGAAAGTTCGGTTATGCCTCATGTTTTCACTTATCTTCTAAATAAATTAATTTCCGCTTGGAGCTAAACAAACATGTGCTACTATTAATGATTGTTTCCCCAATAAGTATTATACTGAATAACTTTAACGTTTTATACATATATATTGCACTTACATTACACTGTAACTTATTGCAAGTGATTTGTTATCGTTTTCCTTGGTCGGGCGTGGCCTAATGGTTAACGTGTTGGGCTTCGTACCTAAGTATTCAAATTGAGACGCAATGATGCTAAACATGCTCCACATTTTCAGCTGTGGGCATGTTATAAAAATACCGTTATTTAGTTCATAGGTTAGGACAAAGCCCTTATAGCGGCTGATGCTGCTGGTTGTCTGCTTTCTGTCTGGCAAACGTTAAAACATCAGGGACGACAAAGGCTGAATTCTAGAGGTTTCTGACTTTGTTGTTTAAACAAAAGTAAATTATTAAGACTTGATATCATTGTTGTGGTATCAAAACAAAATGAAAAGCACTGAAACAGTTGACTATGGAAATAAATCCTAATTTCTTTTAGTATTTTCAGCTATGAACTCCAGTTTCCTTAACTAAGGTTTAAATTGCAATATTAGATTTTTGTATCAAGGATTTTTTTTTCTGAGGTAAACTAATATTCGATGATTATTTCTTTTATTTCATTTTGAAGGTATTTCATATTACCAACAAGTAGGAATTTCTTATCTATATGTCTATGTAACAAAAAGGTACAGAACTGTAGCTAAATGGGTTTTTCTTTTTAGCACATACTAACAATAAAAAATAATCAGTTTACAAGTCTCTATATGTGTTATGCATCTGAGGCTCATAAATAACCTATGGTTGCTACGAATGTGTGTTTTACATATTTTGTTCTCGAAAAGTCCAAAGAATAATGGTCTAAAGATTGTTGAGTACGTTTTATCAAAAACGATTTTGGAGCCTTACCAAGTTGTTACAGTCCATGTCGCCACGTCTAGTAATGCTCTTTCATACGACCGTACATCTTGACAACAGCCCTGCAGTACAGTTTCCATTGCAAAAGAGTCAGTCGTAAGACTGTCATGTTTAAAGCACATACATCATTCTTCGTGCTTTCCATAATCCGTCTATTGTACGAAGACCAACACTTGTTTTAACAGTCCACTCTCACAGAAATTCATAGTTGCTACAATTGGCTTGTTAACATGTATTTCTTCGTACGGAATAGCATGAATACAAGTTGCTTGAGGTATGGAACGGTATGACGAATATTTCACTTTTACAGATGGAGATCCTTCTTGATTATGTTGAGTACTGTTGTCTGGAATATATGGGCAGCTTTTGCTACTGATATTTGTGTTCATTAGTTTTACCTGTTACAAAACACCGCACTTTACTTACTACGGGTAGGGTACGACTTGTTGCAGATCTCTTTCTGGATGGTCCTGGTGTACTAAGTTGAACCATATTCCTTTGTTAACCAATACCATTAAGTACAAGAGTATCACCCTCTTGGAATATATCTTTATGATCTGTGTGTATATGAATATTTTGCGTTGGAAAGAGCTGTCATGTACCCTCCTCAAAAGCGATCAATATTCGCTGAAATCACACTACCTACCACACGCCAAACAATGTCAAACTACATTTCTGATAGATACTTTTCTATCACAGATCTATATCGGTTGTGATTTACATGCGTCTTGCTAATTAACATATTCCATATCGTTTTAATATAACGTATTTAGCCCCCGAATAAGGAGAGAATCCTACGTACATGTGTCGGTCAAAAAACGTATATTTATTATGAAAAATTGTTGTCAACTGTAATGGTACTAACGTAGAATATATAAAAATGAACTTGAAAAATGTATCATATTTTTAATCCATTTTTGCCATGTTTCAGTATTTAAACTTTCTATTTTGTGATGAAACTAATAGAAGTCATTTCTCTTTCACGTTTCACTCCTGGTGACATCGTCGAATAAACATACTTGTAGGCTAGAAGCCCTAAGCGTTTAAGACTAAATATCAGATGAGTGGGCAACAGTCATGCCCAAGTATATTACGTACCCAACACTATGCTCATATGACAGTTGTTCCACTTGAAGCACAAACTCGAATGTTTGTTATTCATGGTATTCCAATATTTCATTTCGCAATATCTTGTTGTTGTTGTTTTTATATTATTATTTCTAAACTATTATTAGTCCTTATGAACTATCAGATTTTTTGTTGCTGGAAAATGTTGCATCCCACTTTTGTCGTCCCTGTATCCTCGATTTGAAAATGGGTACACGTCAACATGGAGATGATGCGCCTGATGATAAACGCTGCCGTCAGATGGCCAAATGTGCAGCCAGTACATCAGCAACTCTAGGTGTTCGTTTATGTGGCATGCAGGTAACTAAGTGTACTAACTACGTACAAATATTTTATGTGATTTATAGTTGCTGATAGAAATAGTAGAAAACATATTTACTGTAAGCTTTTACAACTGTCACAACAAAGTATACACTGAGTGGTCACAAGTAAATAGACACCTATTTTTTCGTCATTTAACTGATTTATGCTAACTAATTTGTGTTCACAGAGCACTATGTAAATGAAAATGGT